CATAGTTACAAACTCAACACCGGACTTCAAGGTGTCACTAATGAATGAAAGCAGTGATTTTGTTTTAATTTGAAAGATTTGTGGTGAAGTTCTACAGGTAAGGACGACTGATAACTCAGTTGAGGACCTGAACTTCACAGTGACATAACAGATGGTTCCAGTAAGAACGGGATAGAGGGTGCCCATGTCCCTTGTGACTCATTGGAGCAGAGGAAGATAGGACTAACGTTTACACAGCTTAAACGCAATCCCACATCATCACTCATCACCAACATTATTTTTAAAATCATCATTGCTCTCAGATCAATGAATTACATCTAAAATCCTGGAATCTTTATCGGTAACCTGTCATACTAAGTATGTACGCAATACACTATTGGACACTATAATACACATTAAAAAAAAAGAACTTATCAGAGGGCGTCAATCTCATATAAACGGGCAAGGGATTAAAAACAACAAAACACCCCCACCAAAAACTCAGTCGAGGACATACCATCTTTCCACATGAAGGTTCAAGAAGAGAAGAATGGCAGCCTCCCGAGTGAACAGTTTGAACCCGCACTGAGTGTCTCGGATTCCACGCACCGCCAGCAGCCACACAACAAAGTGAAAACCCAGCATCAGGAATGTGCGGAACATTGATCTCTGGGAAAGAAAGCAACAAAATAAAACAGTCAACAGAAGATACCAATCTAAGACTCTTCTACATATACCTTTCATAAACAGCATTCTGTTTGAGGGGGAAAAAAATAATAATCACCAAATGAAGTGTCAACAGTGATCATATCATCATTGCTATTGTGACCATCAAAGGCAGTCTTGGGATGAAGTATCAGAGCATTACACACAGCTACATGAATTTCACAGCTTCAGCTAAAAAACAAAACAAAAGAGACAATAAATTACCACAAGAGGTTACCGGTTACTTGTCATTACTAGCTGAACAAACATGGTCAAGACAGCCAGTTTCTGTTATCAAAACCTAGCAAATCTTAACAAAAATAACAGCACTGATGGTTCGCTCAAATCAAATATCCACAGCTGCTCACAGTCATGAAAAGAAAAAAAATGGTTTAAATTCTCACAAAGCTGTTACCAAATAGAACGCTGTATTGAACTAGAACGGCAATGACATCACTGCACAAGGAACAGAAAAAGGACAAAAATTATAATACTGGAATGAGCAAGAAGCAGGTAAAGTTTACACCAAAGGGCAAACGGGTGGTTAGAGGTTACCATTAGCAGCTCCTACTTCTTTTCTTTCTCTCTGGTTTTTTTCCCGGTAAGCCTGTCTCGCTCTTTTTCTTGCACTAAATCACCATTATTGAGGCCAAAATGTTATTCTCTTTAAAAAAAAATTATTTAAAAAACACTGAACGGTACAAAAACAGTAAGGCTTACAGTGGCTATAGAATCCTCCTCCAGATGGGCCCGAGAACCACACACAATAGCCATTGATTCCTGTAAGTGAATAGAAAAACAAACAAACATAAAATACTAACTAAGCAACAGCTGCAGTGAGCACATACTAAACTGTACAAACAAAAGTAGTCTCAGAATTTTGGAAAAAAATAATCGGAGTCTCTATAACCCAAAAATAGTAGGGTTATGATACCAACCAACTGCAATAAATAAGCATGTGTGTACTGAAAATAGATATGTTGACATCATTTACGGTATACTGCGCAAATATTGCACACAAACTTGTGTATTTTTATGCTATTTTAGATAATCACCCAAAAAACGCAAATACATGTGTATTTTCATGTCATTTATAATAAGTTGTGTACTACCTATGGAAACTTAAGTTAACAAAAAAACACCCATGATTTTGTGAATCCCATCCTTCTTCTTCGATGAGCAAAAAATAAAATAATAAATTTTTTTTTTCAAATCAGAGGACTCCAATTTTACCAGAATACTTGGCAGGTCTCCATAGCAATGACCTGACAGCTACATTATGAGCTTTGAACCTTTCATGTCTGCTATCATCAGTAGCAGAGCAGAAATGGTGGAAATAGGACTAGAAAAATCTTTGCGTGTATCTATGAACCAAATGAAAAATAAACAACTTTGGAAACGCTGTGTTGAAAATGTCCGCCCACCACAAACGAACCCATTTCAGGACACCACAGTATCGTGCACAAACTCACTAAGAGACAAGTGGACCACAATCATGCACACACTAACCATATTCTTTGCTTTCTTCCTGCTCTTTGACCGGAGTTTGGCTTTCTCTTTCTGTTCCTCCATGTTCTTTTCCAACTTGTCAAGGTCACTGAACTTGCTGGCTCCATCAGCGTCCACAAACAAGATTTGCCTCCCCCTGCTGGACAACACTCCCTGGGGATTTACAGTTGGGAGATGACGAATGCAGAGACAGTGGCGGCCAGCAATGGCATGAATGTAAAATTGTTCTGCAATTGGGTAATACTGTGTATTTATGTCATGTATACGTGTTTGTATTTATAATTAGATATTTATGAGTAGGTATGTATGTTTGCCCCTGTAAACCAAAATGCCCTTATGGGATTAAAAAAAATGCATTTTAAACATTTGCTAAAAAAGAAAGGACTACAAAATATGCTGATACAAAATCTTTTTTGCCTTAACTTAAATTCTTTCTGATTTACAAAAGATTCTATCATACCGCTGCTGTCTGAAAATAAATAGTAACTTACACTACGCAATGCCCATAAATCCTTATTTACATGCTGATTTATACCCTGCAAATATAATCTAGAAATAATCAAAAGACTTTCAAATGCGCATCACACGACCAGTATAGATTTTAAATTTGGAAAGCGAAACATCCACAACAATTTCTACCCCTCTCAATCAAGAAAAGACAAACATACCAGTCTCACTGCGCCACCTTTTCCTCTATTCCTCTGGAGGGTGAGCACTCGAACTTTCTCAGCACCGTACTGCTCAGACTGTTTTAGTCCAATCTAATAAAAATGACAAATACAGAGAAAGAAAACACACAGGTTACCATAAGTGAAGAACTAGATGACACAGAAACTAATAAAACATCTTTTAAAAATTTCTTTCCTATGATCCAAATTATAAAAAGAAAGCACTGAAACCCCATCCTCATAGGTATACAAATCTACACTTTATTCCTGCTTTCACTAGCTGCTATGGTCATTTATACTTTAATGTTTTCAAGTTTCAAGAACAAGCAACCATGTAAGAATAAAATAAAAAAACCTTTTTTTTTTCAAACAGGTCTTCAAAAGAAGTTTGCTATTGTCATATAAACTGTCATTTCCAACAATGATAGAGGTAGTATGTTACATAACGTAAACAACACTTTGTAGTAGTACAATGAGATCCTATTACAAACACAAACATTCTGTCAGTTTCACCTTCTTGGGAAAGAATAATTAAGATCATAGAATCTACATCATTATATTTTGTGAAGCACACAATAACAGCGATTTTCACACACATAAAAATGAAATAATGACCAAATATATAACATCTGTCAAGAAATACCTCGGTTGTCTGATCTTTGCTTCCATCGTCAACAATAATCACTTCATACTTGAAGGAAGGATTCTCGGTCTGTCTTTTCTCCAAATATTCCATTGTCTCTTCCATCATCACTGGCACTGCAAGTGAATCATGTACAGAGGTAGAGCTACATCCTATCTAAGGTTAACTCTTCAAGTACTGTTATCAGGACAGAACCCCCCCACTAAACACACAAACAAAAAATGCACAAAAACCCCTAAATTCATTTACCTACAAATTTTCAAAAACGAGCCTAGTGGTACAGTCAATTAACAGATGAGACCAGTGTACCCACATCAAGGAGTACATAAAAAATTTAAGTGAAAAGCAGTTCATAAACCTCCTTTCAAAATATTTTACATTCTCTACTCTTATTGTATAGTCACATCAAATTTAATCAAGCTGCCATAACATTATGTGGACAATGGGATCATAGTCAAAGGCCATCAGAGTAAATACGAAAAAGAAACGGAATTTTATTTACAAAGAGGTTTATTGATGTAAGGGCCGAACCACACTCGCAAGCAGTGAAGTAAAGATTTTAAAAAACCCAGACTTTCCAGTATCTGCAGTCAACAAGCTAGTCCCGACTTGTGTGCGGCACCACGGACACTCCTCAGTACAAATTTCTGGAACACATCATAAACGGACGTGTGTACGATCTCGAACTGTGCTCACTCTGGTGGCAATGTAAGCAACCGTTTGCGCAAAATCCAGTATCGCATCAACATGCTACCAAGACGAAAGCTGAGAGATTTTGATTTGTGCCAGAGCTATAGCAATGCTGCAGGATGGTGTTAGAGCCCAAGAAGTTGCAAGAACAAGGAGGCTTGCAGTGTCACACTCTGTCATTGTCTGCTTGAGGCAGCGCGATCAAGCCACTGGATAGGTACAAGAACGTCCACGTGCAGGTCGACCCAAGATTCATCAGAGTGTTTGCAAGTGGTCCTTAACTTATGTTGAAGTCTGTAGAACAAAGATTTTATCAATTAAGAATATAATTAGACACAAAAAATATTTCTATTTTTAAAAGCAACAATGTTAGCTTACATCTCTGCTCCTCATTGTAAGCTGGGACAATGACAGACAAGTCCAGGGAGGGGTTCTCACTGTAGTCAGGAAACATTCGCTTGGACTTGGAGCTCGGGTCAAAGTAAAACTTTTCGCTGTCATGGCGAGATACCACTGGGTAGGCCTTGGTGGTCATGTAAGCGTAGAGCAGGAACTGAAATGTAGATTGTAAAAAAACAATAATTCCACTGTGACTGAGAGCTGTCAATATCAAAGCATCTAATCGAGATCTAGATCTAGATCTAGATCTAGATTTAGATCTAGATTCTAGACAGACTTAACTAAGTCCAAGTCGAAGACAAGACCTCTTCTACTAATTGGGCTTTGCAACAAGAAATATCTATGATGTCCCCAGTAACCCGGTGCATGGTATAAGAACATGTTGAAATGAGAGAAAAACATAGCGACGTGGCACTTACGAGAAATGCAACAACAGTAGCAACTGCAGCTAAAAGAAATATCACGCCCTGGAGCGTGAGAAGCATGGCGGCTGTCTGGCAGGAAAAACTTCGAACTGTCTTCGGTTATCAAGCCATAAGGTGGAACTCACTCATAGGCCAGCCTGAAGTTTTCATCATCCCAACAAACGGAAGTTGCTGGTAAAACGTAAGAAAGTTAGAATTAATAGAAAGTAAAGCAAAGTTCAGGGGAAATCACTCGAAAAAAATTTCCTCAGCTTTCACCGGGAATGCCGAATTTTTCCGCAAACATATTTCACACTAAACATAAGGAAGAATGAAGTCGGGCATCTTCGGTCACAGCGGTTATTGGCGTTTCTACGATGTTGTGTATCGGTTGCTGTCAAGATGGCGACTGTCTGCTCTTGAAATTTTGCTTTGTGAAGTAAAAAGTGATTGATGTTACGTGCTTTCCTCGTAGAGAGCATCCTTGACTCAAAGATGGGTAGTGTCGAACAGCAGCCTGATAACCTTTTGGTTAATGTTTTGCAGTTCTTGAGGTCCTCGACTCTGTTTAATGATTTGCTAATTTCTGCTCAGGTAAGTCTCTCGCGACTCGGACTCCGAACGGCCAACACTTACGGTTGACTGTAGACGGAGGCGGGTAGAACAATAACTCGAGCTAGTATTTGGCTTAGATTTTCTCTCATAGCTAGATCTAGACTTTATTTTGTATAGCAAGTTTTAAAGGGATTGTTTAATTAATTTTTTGAAAATATAAAAAATACTGGTTTTCATCAATTCTTTCTTTTTTTTTTTGTCACCAGGAAGAAGCTCAGAAAACAAGTCTTAGAATCTCTGAGCTGAAGAAAGGTGTACAAAATGGCCTTGGGTCTGCTGGTAAGCTACAGGAAAGATCTTTTGTTTGGTGAAGAATGGTAATATATCTCTTGTTCATTTGGATTCGATCCAGTTGTGAACATATTTTGGTCCACTCAGATTGATCTTTGGTTATGCGGGATCTTAGGCGAAGGGGGATGTTAGCCGAATGACCAGGGGAAGAATCCACAGTAACTCATTAAATTGTCAGGCCCAAAATCTGTACAATGATCTCCCCTTACTTAAAAATGAACTGACATGACTTTTTTGTATTTTGTTTGGGTTTTTTGGGGGGAGGCTTAAAAAAAAACTGTGTCAGGTGGGCCAGATGGCTTCAGGCAATGCCCCCCACCAAAAATGTATTGCTTTCCATCTTTGACGGAGTTCCCAGCCCATGTCATGATGCATCATTATCGTTGTGTTGTGACCACACCAATTTAAAAAAGAATCAAACGCTGGTTCACTGCCAAAAGATGACCACTTTACGCAAAGGGGATCGGACAGTCCACGAGTATGGACGCCAGTCTGTCTTGGAAGTTCGAGCGCAAAATTGAAAGATGGGAGCGATGTTTTGGGAAAAGTGTAAGCGTGCACGAGTTGGACAGTTTGATGGAATGCAGTCTGGAATCTGATGCACTTGTAGGCCCTCCCCACCTAGTGTGTGATGTTAGATTAGGCGGACGGCTCCTGTGATCGGGGAAAGCAACGTGTTGATAAATTCACACCTTGGTGCGATCCCGTCTGGGGCAAATATTGTAACCGCTTATCGACATTTACAGCAGAGGTGTGATCGCATTCATGAGAGTGGATTGTTCGAGACGCGACGGACCGTACAATGATCGCCCGTTTTTGCTACTTGGTTGATCAGCTGAGCGTGCTCAGGTTTCTTCTTCTTTTTTTTTTTTTTTAAAAGGAAAAAAACAACTAAATTATAACCTGAAAAGCGGGAACGTTGCCGAATGTAGCTGCTTTAGCCCGGATCAGAGCAGGATCTTAGGGGTGACTTTTATATGTATTGTAAAAATTCTGTTTTTCCAAAACAACGGGATCTTAGGCGAACTGGGACCATATAAGCGGTAGGATCTTAGGCGGAGACTACTGTAGTCTGTATATATGATTGGGATCAGGTCACATCACAATGAGAATGAAGAAAAAATATTTTAATAATCAGTCTCTCTCACATTATTTAAAACAAAGGCTGAGTATTTTCTCAACTTCTCTGAGCCAGAATGTGTTTTTTTCGGAAGCTAGGATTTAGAACTGGTTTGTTAGAATGGTTATTGGACTTATTATTGGTTCTCATTTTTACCCTCTCATTTGCAGTTTCTGGTAATGTATGAATGATGGTTCTAACAAGGAGGGAATTGTGTTTTGTTTTTGTGAGGCATCATGGCAAAATCAGGCGTTCGTCAAAATAATGAAATTAAAAAAACCGACATTGTTCCACTGGTTTGGCAATTTTTATTGAATTCTTTTTTCTTGGCTCAATGGACCTTATATATCCATTTAAAAATGCATTTCTGTAAGGATTTTTTTTTTTTTTTAAATCCATTGATTAAAAGCACAAAAAATGCAATTTTTCAGTTTCCAAGGACTCTCAAGCTATGGGATTCGCCAATCTTTGGTTGTGGTCATTTTCTTGATGTAGCCCCCCACTTCCTTCAATTGCATATTTCGACTTCTGTTTAAGATAGATTTTTTAAATATTTTTTTTCAAAAGAAGGACAAATAAACAAACTTTAAAATGACTCCAATAACTCTGCATGTCCAAAAAGTGATGAATGCCTGCTTCCACCATGCTGTCACATCTATTGTCTTCACCCTTTGCAAATGATATGTGAGAATGTTTCAAAGCAATATATTTTGCTATTGTTTTGTTAAGCCTCCTGATTTATTAAAAATGTCCATGTCCTCAGGATGGGATCGCAAGCTTCGAAATGCAATCTATCACTTTTTGCAGTCTCAGCCAAAGTCAATGACCAATGGTATACTAGGTTCTCCTGAGCAACTCAAAGAACCGCTGACCTATGTACGGAAGGCACAGGTAAGGTTGTTTGGAGAATATGCATATGAGCAAGGTGGAAGTAATAACCTTATAGAATGAAAATGTTCTGGGTTATTTAGAAAACTGAGAGTTGAAAACGTGTATTGAATAAAAGCCTCTCAGAAAGAGGAGAACTGGAGGGACTCTTGTTGTTTAGAATTACAGAGCTGTGACCTTCGTCCTGTTTTAATTTTTGCTTTGGTGTGACAAAAATCATTTTCTAATATTTGTTTTATGCCTTCTGTACTCACAAACTAATTGAATATTCTCTCTGATGTTTTTTTGGACTTATTTTGCCATAATCACATACTTATTTTGCCTTAATCACATGCTGCCTCTAAAGCTCATTTTAATGTAGAAATTGTGGTCATCTCTCGTTATCTTAAAGTTATTTTTAAAAGTGCAATTGAGATGTTTCTTATACATTTGTGAGGCATAATGGTGAAATAAGGCGCCTGTCAAAATAATGAAATCGAAGGAACCTGCATTTTTCAGTGGGTTTGGCTCGACATCTTTTTTGTCCATTTAAAAACAAATTTCTGAGTAAATTTTACTGGAAAACTTTGATTGAAGGACCGAAAGTGTAAATTTTCAGTTTTGAAGGACTCTCAAGCTATGGAAGTCACGAAACTTTGGCTACCATTTTCTCGCTTATTTTACCTCTGAAACCAGGTGACCCCCACCTCCTTCAGTCACAATTATCTTGATTTCAATTCAAGATAGATGGGTATTGAAAACAAGGCAAATAACAAGCTTTAAGAAGATACCAATAACTCCTCATACCCAAAAATTGACAAGCACCTGATTCCACAGAGTCGTGACACATTTATGTACTTTATCGTCTTAAAACTGAGAGCATCTAACTATGCTAATGAATCAACCTTTTCCACAGCTTGCCTGGGAGAAGAAGATCCTGAAGAGCCTGAATAGTATGTGTACAGAACTGACCATTCCATTGGCTCGACGGGTGAGACAGATCTTTAAATATTTTTTAAAAATTACATGTAGGTATTTCTATACCCCCATAGAAACCTGAATAAAGTAGCTTAAGCTTGTTATGACTGCAAGTTCATTTATATGCATACTGTCCCTGTTTGTACCACTATGAAAAAACTAATGTCTCCAGGGTTCTAAAAAAGCTTTTTCGACATTTTTTAGAGGCCTAAGGTCTTTATCAGAATAACTTTTTTTCGTGACCTGATTTGTGTAATATGTTTTTTTACATTTTCAAAATGTTGTTTTAAAGTCAGAATTTGTCTATTGGTTTTTAAAAAAAAATTTAGTGGAACAAAATACACTTTTCTTCAATTTTGTCTGACAAATACTTGAAAAATTGAAAAAAAAAGAAAAGAAAAGAAAACAACTGGTACCTTTTAAATAATATAGCTACTTTACATTTAAAGTAGATCCTCAAGTTCATTTTTAGCAGCGACACTGTTAATGAACTTACCATGACTTAGAAAAGTAATTAGTTTCTTTGAAACATTCATAATATGTTACATTTTCCTTAGTCTCCTGTGAATTTTGCAGTCATATGCAGACAGGGGAGCAAATCATATGAGGCTTTTTGAATTACAAATGTTAAAGCCAAGAGAGAAGCTTGCGTTAACTGTGCACAGTTAATGAAACTTTTAAATGCTCAAAATTAATTAGCTAACTCTTCTTTACCAGAATTGTTCTCATTGGCCATAGTAGAAGCCACAAATCGTCTTAACCCTATCCGTCCATTTTGTTTTACAGTCGTATCCATACGACGTGGGGAACTCTGTGCCACTACTTTTCAAAGAAGAAATTTACTCATTAATCCGATCCGTACGCTTTGCACAGCATT